TGATCTTTCTTCCCTACCAAGATTATATATTTATAAATTAATCCTTAAAGGCATCATGTAGCCTCCAGGCTCGACAAACCCCGACAAACCCCGACACACCCCGACAAACCCCGACAAACCCCGACAAACCCCGACATATCCTGACAAACCCTGACAAACCCCGACAGACCCCGACAAACCCCGACATATTCCGACAAACCCCGACAGACCCCGACATATCCCGACGTGTCGAGATATGTCAGGGTATGTCGGATTATGTCAGTTTGCCCAATAATTTCGGTATCAAATTGACGAAAATAATACTCTGGAGCTCTCATAACGAGGTAATTTAAGTGGGTATAAATATGTCGTCAGTCCTTCCTTCCTTCCGTTAGTTACCATGACAACTAGCGCGCAGTGCAGCGCGCGAGTATTGCTTGCGGATATTTAATGTATATATATAGCTAGCATGTCAATGAATGCGCGGCGCGAGTGTATTTTAATGTATGCTATGTTATGTACAGTATTAGGTAATAAGCCCAATTTGTACATGGCATGCGTAGTATAATGTACTCTGTGTATATTATTATTATGAAGTGAGCTGATTAGAGCTTATATTTATAGTTATAGTGAATGGAAATCTAGCGTCTGCCAAAACGAAACAACGGGCGCAATTCTTGTTAAAACTGTGCACTCAGTATAATAATAATCTAATACGCACTATAAAGCTATGAGCACGAGAGAAGAGTACGATACCGGACGGGACTGCAAGAGTGTGAGAAAGCAAGAGCGCAGCGCAAGAGACCAAAAGAGCAAGAGTGGGAGACAGTAAGAGCCACAGGATGAAAAGAAAGGAGTGTTGCGTCAGGCTTTGCTACGCCGCATCGGTTCACTTCCTTACCAATACTTGCCTAAATCCAATTCAATGAAACAAGCGATGCTGAATAAAAACAATAAAATTTGTATCATGTATTTTTAAAAACATACATACATACGTATAAAAGTTGTTGAAAGTTTCAAAAGTATTACTAATACTAAGTAACTTTTAAAATGTACTTTACAAGGCATTATACAACTTAGAAGTACACGTATCCCAAAGGCCAAAATAACATGCAATTTGTAAAATTTAAACAAATATTCTTAATTATCATTGATAATTTTCTACATGTGTCGAACTCTAAAAACTACAACCCAATGTAAGAAGATTTAACGTGTAGCCTTTTGTTATTGTTAAAATAAAAAAAACAATGTAATATCTATTATATAGCATCACAATTATAATGATATCAAAATATAAATAAATAAATAAATAAATAAATAAATAAATATATATAATATATATATAATAAAATATATATATAATAAAATATATAATATGATAATAAAAATATATAATATTTATAATAATAAAATATATAATATGATAATTGGTAATGTACTGGCCAGTATATTAACATAGATCCGCTCATTACGTACTCAATGTTTTTCATTCTCTCCTTGCGACTTATCATCGCCCTCCTTATCCATCTCTTTTTCAGTTTCACCTTCAATCTCCTTCTGAATAGCGTCTCCCTCAAGCTCCTTCTTCTTCCTACGCCTCTCCCTCTGCTTCTCCCTATCCTCCGCTGTCTCGTCCATGATCAGCATCTGCATTTCGTCACTATAATGACCGCTTTCTCTCCAGTCCACAGGCCACCCAAGCTCAAGAGCCCTCTCATCGTCATAGACTATGAGCTGCTCAGCATCTTCTATCCTGGTCTTTACTGCTTTCTTCTCAGCCTCTTTCACCCTCCTATCCCATTCATCCTCTCTCGCCTTCTTCTCTTCTTCTGTCTCTTCCTTTCTCCCACACTTATTACAATTCTTCCTGTAGGAGAAGTTGGGATAGGCACAAGACTTGCACCTCCACTCGTCTCCATATACTTGGATTGAGGTCCCCTCAGACTTTGGGGCACCACAACTTGAACATGTGCTTCTGAGGTGGCCTTTGTTCTCAAAGCGGCAACGTCCACACTCCCAATGTGTGCATCTTTCACGATATTTGGGCATTGCTGGGACAAGGTTGTGTTAGGCTAGTTAGTATTCAAATTACTTAACTTCAATAATCTATACTAACATATGAGTAAAAGCTTTAAAAATGAAAACATTTTAACAACACGGCGCAGCAGGTTGACATTTGACATCGCGACACTTTGTACAGGGTGACATCAGATTCATTCCCACAATCATGTATTTCCGTGGGGACAGGCAGACCTTGTTCATCTTTTAAGTTGAACTCTACAGTGAACTCATCACTCTCCTTTAGCTTGTAGATTTTTCTGATTTTAGTGCAAAACTCTCCTAAATGAGCCTTGCTTATACGGAAGGGAGAGGCCAGGCTGTCTTCAGTCTTAATTCTGTAAACCTTCTGATCAGGCTGCTCATCTAGTGATTTGAAGGTATTGCCTGTGTGAGCGTCACTGAAGTCAATACTGTTAGACACGACAGACACAACATGCTCTGACCCTGATGCAGATTCCTTTGATTCTAGCGCTGCTATCATGTCTGAATTATTTTGTTAGTAGAAAAATAATTTATATAATTAGAGGAGTTTAAAAGCTAACAACGCACTGGACATAAAACGATCGAATCTCCCGAAGTGAACATTCACTAAGCACCGTCTAAAGTACAATGAATCAATGTCCAAAAAAGATCAATTCGAGAGAAATCTTAGTTCCCAAAACAAGAACTTGATGTTTTTAGAAATAAAATAACAATATTTCAGCATCAAAGTATCAAACAGTTCCCAGGTAATTTGACACTACTACATAATTCAATGTACTAAATAATTCAATATTTTAAAAACAACTTTAAAAACTTTATCAACTACTGCCTGACGTGACTCGTGTGCCACATTGTACCAACTCTTGCTCTTCGTCCACGCTTTTTCGTCTACTTGGCGTAGGGCGCGCGCGCGGTCAGATTTTATGTAATCACGCGCGTACTTATTGCGCGATGTAGTGATACGTGCACATGGTCTTGTGGCTTCAAATGACACCTGTAATCCATGTGCGGGGCAGGAGGGTCAAGCACTCTTTTTCTGAAATGAGCCTCCTGATCCATGTGTGGGGCAGGAGGGTCAAGCACTGTTTTTTTCAGGTTGACCCTCCTGCGCCATTATACTGCCATTGATCAATCTTCTTTAGGCAACTTCCAATCACTTTTCATCCATTATTAACGAATCCCGATAAACCCTGACAAACCCTGACAAGCCCCGACAAACCCTGACAAACCCTGACAAACCCCGACAAACCCCGACACACCCCGACACACCCCGACAAACCCCGACAAACCCCGACAAAACCCCGACAAAACCCCGACGTGTCGAGATGTGTCGTATCATGTCGGGCCCACCGGCTACATGATGCCTCCTTAAATAGCTGAAAGCTTAAATAAAGAGAAGATGTAGCTGATTTGGCAAAAGTTACACAGATACACGAACATTGAAAATTGTCTTTTTGATTAGTATATGTGAGAGTTTTGATATCTTTGTTTTAAGAGTTCGATTAGGATTTATAGTTTCATAGCACCAAGTGTTTAAAATCCCTATCAGTACCATGCTCTGGCAATTCCGAATCCCAAAAATTCACCCAATTGGCCAATTTTGTTAACGAATCGGGGCTTCATTCGGGATGGGAGAGTCGAGACTTTGAGTATGACGGCAGTAAAAGGCATAAAACATTGTAATTTCGGAGTCACGCCTTATATATTGTGTAATTGTGTAGCAAGGGCGTACTATTAGTACGATTAGCTTGTCGCGTCGTTATAATTACACCGCGTACTCGTGATGCCCATATAAGGAGTGTATACTACACGTGATGCCCATATAAGGACTCGAGGCAATCTTTATTTTATCAGTGAGCATGTCCGACTGAATAACGAAAAATAAAAACCATTCTAGCCTAGAGTAACTGTTAAGTAAAGTAGGAATAAGAGTTCATCAAGCATAAACAAGTATATTACTCGTGTGATATAAATTAGTGTTAGATAAACTGGATGTGGTTCATAGACGTCTACTACCAAGTTTAAATTTGTATCATCCTTACATTATAATATCCAACAATAATTTGTATAAATGCTGTAATGTAGAGCCATTATCGGTTAGAGTGGAGTGTTAAGCGTATAATATGTAGCTCGCTTGTATTTTCAAATAAGGAGTGTATACTACACGTGATGCCCATATAAGGAGGTTGTATTTGTAAAAAAGTACTCGGGGCGGGCGAGTAGGACGACTCAAATTCAACCTTTTTTTACTGATTTAGCGTAATTTAAAAGTTGGTAATAGTTTCTTGAATAATCTTACTCTAAGTTATCTTTATATTTAAGAAAAAGATCCTTAAATAGCATTGAAGTATTGTTCAGATGGTTACAGCCTCTTTATACTTGCTATCACTATCAGTTGTTCAGACCTAAAGTGTTCATGCAACATTGCGCTGACTGTATAAACGATGGTCTACATTTATGACATGCAATCTTCGGGTTGCAGGTAGTACGTTGAGTCACAGGGGGGTTTAGTTGCATTCTGTCGACTAACTTACTAACGGAATATCATGGTTTAGTATTTCGAGCGTCTAACTTAAAGACAAGGCTTCTGCTGTAAGTTACTAAACGACATTTTGACGACGGCTGGAGTGCTGGACTTGAAATGCAAAAAACGCGAAGGAAAATCGATGTACAGAATTGAGCCCATATAATATTATTTATTTTCCACCATTATTTTCCCAGCACCTCCTTCCCGTTAAGCCCCTTACTTTTCAATTTGACATTTTATATTCAATCATGTTTCTTTCCCAGACATCCTGTACTGATAAACAAAAATACGGAGTTCATACTCACTACAATACACGACAATTTAAGTTTTTGTACAGATTATACTGCAGGAACTAAGGCATTTGACTTGTGGGAAGTACCACTACCACAATTAACGTAATTGGACAATACTTAAGAAAGTGGACAGCCTGAATTAGACTAGACGGCGTTTTAAATAGGGGTTTATTAGCGGCTAGTTGTACAAACTGTCATGTTTAAATTGCCTCAAACGGACTAGGGTATAATATACTAAAGTACTAAGTAAAGACACGTATCTAAGAAGTAAAACTGAACATTAACAAGTACAAAATACCGACAAGTGTGCTTGTTCTCGGTTACTCTCAGACGATCGAGTACTGAACAGTGAACTGAAACAAAGCCCCACTCAGCCTGCTGAATAAACAATTTAACATTCTCCTCAGTATAAGAAAAGATTAAATTCGTCAACATGACAATTGACTAGTGAACCGACGACAGACGATTAAATTTATAATATAAATTGGATGAATAAAAACTTGATAAACTTTAACACAAAATATTTTATTCACAAAAGAAAGCAAAATTAGCCTAAAGGATTAGCTAAAGGATATTAAAAAGATAGGACTCAAAAGTTCAACTATAATTATAATCATAATTACAAAAATAAATCCGAGAAATAATAAACAACACCGGATTTGAATACAGTCATGAGATTAATAAAAGAAAATCGTTTTTATGGTTAAAAACACGTATCATTCTGTAACATTGATTGTATTTCATACTATTAACAATCGGGTAATGGCTAAAGATGTTACTAAGGTAAATAAAGATCGACAAACATATGACCATTTGAGAATAATATCAAAAACTTATGTTATCTACAGTTCTTGTGTATCAAGCCATGCAGCCTTTGCACTGTTCAAGAATTTCTTGATCTTTCCAGGGTTTGAATTTTCCAGTCTGAAGATTGTAAAAGAAGTTAATTTTAGTGTTTGGCGCAAGTGAGATATTTAAGATACTATGGTAATAGTAAGAAAACTTAGTATACCTGCTCGTCCCTTACAAGAATCCTTTTGAGAAAGTAGGAAGCTATGAACACTAGTGGTACTCCGGCAATACCTCCAAACCCACCATCAACATCGTACAGCACTGATGTTACAACTGAAAGTGTTAGGTGTTAGGTGTTACCACTCAGTTTCCTTGTGGTAATCGAATCTTGCTCTGCGTAGAACCGATACTTTAAAGTCTCAAGCCACACGATATTGATCTGAGATTTTAAAATCTTGTACACTTCCAATAGACGCAACTTAAAAACAGGAACAACGTTCAGGACACCACTTACCAGTAACAATAAGGATAACGGCTGCAATGATAGCCGTTACAACCCACCAGCTATTCTCCTGGCAACTGTCCAACCTTGTCTTCATGTGATCCTCCTCCAATTCTGCAAACAATCGTGGTTAGGTATTATACTCCGTAACTTGTTACATAGTAATAATTTGATCCTGACTTTCATGGAGAATGGCAGTGTTGCTATGTAGCCGAGTTGCTATGTAGCTGAGTTGCTATGTAGCTGAGTTGCTATGTAGCTGAGTTGCTATGTAGCTGTGTTGCTATGTAGCCATGTAGCTATGTAGCTGAGTTGCTATGTAGCCGAGTTGCTATGTAGCTGATATGCTATGTAGCTGAGTTGCTATGAAGCTGAGTTGCTATGAAGCTGAGTTGCTATGTAACTGAGTTGCTATGTAGCTGAGTTGCTATGTAGCTGAGTTGCTATGTAGCTGAGTTGCTATGAAGCTGAGTTGCTATGAGGATGAGTTGCTATGTAGCTGAGTTGCTATGTTGCTGATATGCTATGTAGCTGAGTTGCTATGAAGCTGAGTTGCTATGAAGCTGAGTTGCTATGTAACTGAGTTGCTATGTAGCTGAGTTGCTATATAGCTGAGTTGCTATGTAGCTGAATTGCTACATAGGCAGTACACATTCTCTTGACATTGCTCAATGCTGCAGCTAACTCAGCTAACTTGCACTACTGTTGTCTTATTCTCAGTCAACATGGTATAATAGTATAACGAGTAGGCAGACTTGCACAGTGTACACGTAATTAACATATTACATAATCATATAATTATATAATTGATCTGGTTGAGAATGTACTCACAAACCTAATACAGCGAGGAGAGCTTTACAGAACGGATCATTCCTTGGATCCTGCGAGAAAATATGTACAATGTATAATGTATAATGTATATATTTGTGGCAGTGAATCAATGAAGTTCAAAGATTTTTGTCGAGAAAGAATGTGACTAGTAGTGTAGCTGTGTAGAAAGGTATAATTACCGTTTTGAGAGTGTTGTAAAAGTTGATCAAGTTCGTATTACCGTGCTCAGATACCAGTTCACTGAACAACCTCATAAACTTCACAGTCTCAATATCAGACTTAAGAGGAGCCCTGAAAGTAACAGAATGTATAAAAAACTAAGGTTAGCAGTTTTACTTGATTTTTTCATGATCTCCGATGAATCAGAGGTTGTACAATTAAAATTTACAACATGTCCTGGTTACTAGGTTACTACAGCTGGTTATTAGGTTACTACTTGGTAACTTTGCTAGTACATATCAGCAGGTTGCAGTCAATTAACACAGTCAATTAACACGCTCCAAATTACTGCTCCTATTTGAGGAACAGTAATTATGTTTTCCTGTAAGATTAAACCTCATACAGCGGGTCAACACACTGCTTGCTGGCTGTTCATTTTAACAAACTAAGTGATGTATTAGACAAATATTAGTGAGCAATGAGCTCGAATCGAACAGGTTGGATATGAACCGAACACGGAACAGGTAGGATCACTTATTTGCGAAGATGGTACCATGTCACCTGATCAAGCGCTTTTCTCCTCTGTACAGTAAATAATTGCCTCACAGAAACTCAGAAACTGCCCTGTTTGATAAACTTTGCAATGTAATATTTTAGATCTGGTTGCAAGTCAGTTTCACGGTCATATTTAAATTTTAGGAACTGAAAGTTTGTTAAGATTTAAAGGTCAGCTCTTAACAATCTTATCCCTACCTAGCTTCATCAACAGGTATCTTTATACTTCCATTTTCTTTCATCATTTGAAACAGTTTCTTGAGGTGCCATACCCCCACCACCTTTACCAGGTAGGAGTTGAGTTTCTTTTCAGTCTGCACCTCATCACGCTCCTCCTCAGTCCCGGGCAGAAGAGGAGTGGAGGTTTTGATGACGTCACCAGTAGCTGTGACGTCACCAGTGGTTTTGATGACGTCACCTCCTTCTCCATTACCAGGCAGCTTCAGCTCTAAGTTATTCTCGTTCTTTACAGCACCTAAGTTCCTGAGCAGTGACGTGGTCAAAGTGAGGATACTAGGTTAATATAGCATTGCTGGATTTAAGGGTATAATCTATAATAGCTCATTTTGATTTAAAGTTTGTTCTAATGTTGTGCTTATTAGATAAAAGTCTGTCAGAATTTAAGAAAGATCAAGATGTACCCGTGGTTAAGATGATGAGTTGCTATTTGTATTGCGTAGCGAACCATGGGTCGGAGGGATGGAGAATTGGTAGACACCACTATATCCTTATTGCTAACACTCAGTTCAATAAATATCTTCCCAGTGAGTCGGATATGATAACAGTCGGAATCCTAGAGTTGTTATTATAAAGTTACAGGTAAATTGTAGATCTGATCACTAAAAGGAAGTATTATTCCATGCCTACACCAGGTTACTACCTGGTTACTAGGTTACTACTTGGTTACTAGGTAACTACTTGGTTACTAGGTTACTACTTGGTTACCAGGTTACTACTAGGTTACTAGGTTACCACCTGGTTACTAGGTTACTACCTGGTTACTACCTGGTTACTAGGTTACTACTTGGTTACTAGGTAACTACTTGGTTACCAGGTTACTACTTGGTTACTAGGTTACCACCTGGTTACTAGGTTACTACTTGGTTACCAGGTTACTACCTGGTTACTAGGTTACTACTTGGTAAATTGTAGATCTGATCGCTAAAAGGACGTATTATACCATACCTAAACCATGTTAATATTCCTGGCAAACTTAACACCCACTCGACACAACGTATCTTTCCGTACTGACCATGTGTGTAATAAAACAAACAACAATTAATTAAGAGTGAGAGTATGTACTACAAAGTAAACACAGTTGTTCTGACCTTCTTCTTAGCAAGTGACCCTGAGAGGAGGTATGTTAGGGTGTCTGCTAAGGGTTTTAACAGATATCCACACGAGCCTCCTGCTCCAGTTGTCGTTATGTTGAGTAAACAATCCTGTAAGTGATAAGAAGTGAGCATTCAAACAGTCAGTTATTAGAATTGGGTAGGAACTTTAATTGGGTATTTAAATTAAGGGGGAAACTCATTGCGAACACGCGTGCGGATAAAGCAACATTTAACATACTTCAGACTTGGTTTCCTTCGTTGCGTCCCCAACTAGAATATTTGTTGGTATTCCACACCGATACAGCAGAGTCCGGACTTGCCCATCATGACATTGTGACAGAGCAAATGGTATGTTTATCACATAGTTATGGACCCCCTCCTCATCTCTCACAAGCCTTATCAAACCAAGTTTACTCAAGATATCCAGATCTTGATTAAGTGCACCTAAATCATACCCCAGCTCGTGAGCGAGAGAGTCATCAGCAAGCAGGAACGAAATATCCTGTTGGGGTGAATCAGGAGATAGCAAATCAGTTGGCAGGTGCAGGTAAGAAAGGCCCATTTTAGTTTTAAGTAGTGTGAGTAGGTTTATCTGCTTCTTCGACAAGGTCTGCAGTTTATCCTTCTGTAGCTGTATGTAAGAGAGCACTTCCTCCTCGTTACTAGCTATCACACTGAAACTGGTCTGGTAATCACTTACTGTTTTGTGAACGTAAGTTACAGAGTTACTTGGTTGAATGCCCGCACAAGAGTAGAACAAGGTGTCTGTATTTCCGTACACACAGACGATGCTCTGACCGGGGTACTGAGTGCAGTTGTAAGGTCCGATCAGGTTTATTATTTTGAAGGGCTGGTGTGAGTATCTGATCACAACATGAGATCTTAATTTCTCGAATAGTTCATCATCTGGCTCAAATATTTCATCTTCAAAATGAGGAGATCGTGTTATCTTGGGTAGAAATGTTTCCAGGTATTCTATTAGGGACTCTGGATCTTCAGCAGATTGTATAGACATTCGTGTTAGCCATTCTGCTGTTATCAGCCTTCCTTGAGCTGAAAACAATCGAAATCATGATGATGAATATCAGAATATTATTTAATACGGAGATAAAAACATAGCAGTAGACAAAAATTCGGATAATAGAAGATTAAATTTAAACAGTTAACAACCTGAGAGTTGAGAAAGCACCTCAGAACCAATTATTATTTTATTGTTTGCACCAGCTTCCAAGAGAATTCCCACCAACTTCATAGGTATATCTAAGTCATCGTATACATTTAAAAAGCTGCACAACACAAATAAAGGTGTCATTCCCTTGTTGTTTCTCACATCAACAGAAATGTTCAGCTCAGTGAATTTTCCCACCATTAGCTGTAACAGTGATGATTTACATCGCATTCTCAGCATAATGTGAAGGGCACTGTCACTGTTGCTGAAATTTATAATGGAATTATAATTAAGGAACAAATATAAGAGAGTTGCTCTCTCAAAAAACTTAAATTGTCTACTATTGCAAGATTGTGTACAAAACTAAAATAGGAAATGATTTCCATAAATTGAAAAGCTAATCTGAATTGTTGCAAACTTACTTGTCGCAATTTTGTAGAAGCATTGTCAGTAAGTTGCTGTCCAATTCGAACAACTGATCAACATCTTTAGCATTGACTGATCTTTTAAAAATTTGATGGACAATGTTATATCTGTTATCCTTGCAGAGTACAGCCCATATTTCTGGGTCCTCTTTCAACCAATTCAGTTTATTCATAATTTGAATAGGTTTACGGCAATAGTAAGCAGGCCGCTTGTTGTCTGAATCATACTGCTTCATCATTTTCAAGAAGTCCTCTCGGAACTTTTTTGCTAATACTTCCAACAAGAAGATATTGTCCTCCTGACAAGCAAAATGAGCAATGTTTTTCTGATCATCCGGAGAGACACAGCTCGGTGAGTATTTCAAAAAGTTTGTATAAAACGTTGTAAAAAGAGTAGCTGTCTGATCATCTCCTTTTTTCACAGATTTTGAAAGATCTTTAAGAATGTTAAAAGCTTTAGTGTACATTGCCTCGCAACAACTAAAACTATAAGGAGAAAGACTCTCTACTTTGCTCAAAATCTTGCTGAACTGAGAAACGTCCATGTCTGTCTTTAAAATGAGCTTCCCTAGAATATCACTCAACTGTTTGAGAGTAATATTTTCGGTAAGATAGAGTGAAATATTTACAATAACTTCGTTTGGAAAATTCTTGGATAAAACTGCCTTTTTGAATGTCATGATGTCAATTTTGTCATCATATAAGTTTCTGATTATGTAAATTGAAGCATCTTCAGCATCAGCTATTTTTCTCGGCTCTTTCAGATTGAATGAGAATGTCAATACAGAATCTCCAGTGCTATTAGGTAGCTTAGCCCTGCTCTTATCATCTGATGTTTTGATATAATTGTCTAAGAGGTAAATGATTATGTTTGTATTCATGTTGGCTGCCAACATCAAAGGTGTTTGTCCTTTATTGTTTGGGGTGAACAATAACTCAGGAAAAGATGTCACAAATGAATCTATTGCTTGTTTCTTGTACCGAGAATTATTATCAGATACAGCTATATGAAGACCAGTCCATTTGCCCACAAGCACAGAATCTTTGATACAGTCTGCAAATAAATTCCCAATGTCATTTGATTCACAGACACATTGTTCAGACTTGTGAAACTCAGATTTGATGTACTTTTCCAATTGTTGGTGCAACTGCATGACATCTTTTTCTTTTAAAGACTGGAGATATTGTGCAACCTCCTCTTGGCTTACATTTTTATAGGCTGCATTATTGCATTTGCTAAAAGAGATTGGAGCCATTCTGAAAGCATGTTGAGTTGTGTAGAAGTAAGATATAATATATACATTATACAAGAAGCTACCATGTATATTCTATAATGAACCAATGCAACAAGATTGACGCCAGTTGCATTATGAAAACAGATTGTAGAAAATCGACAAATAATTTCATTTGACTTTATCCATAGCCCATCAGTTCCAGTACCAAAATGTTGGTTAAGTAATAGTTTATAAGTCAGTAAATTCCTAGAAGAACACACATTCTAGTAACTCAATGAGGTGCAAAACACACACACACACAAAACACTTGACTAATAATAAGATAATGATAAAATGTAGGTTTCAATGTCTATTTCAAATAAATCATGAAGCGAACTGCATCACGCACTATGAAGCCACCAATGTAATGTTGAGAAAAGACAGTTTTTTTTTGTTTTTTTTGAGAAAAGACTATTTTATTATTTATCACCAATTCAATACATAATCAATAAATATATATCCGAATAAATAAAACTTTTCGTTTCATTGCATTGATAAATATTCACGCTGTTAAAAATGGGTCTTACCACACCGCCACTCACATTAGCACAGTTGGTGAACGGACCCAGGCGCTGTTAAGCTTTTATGAGCCCTGATTGACTGCTGAGAGTGGCGACGGGTCTGACATTCATTTTATTTTAGTTTTCCCTATATTCCAATAAAATTTTAGTTTTGAGTTAAATGATTTTTATGCGATATTTAAGTTACAGCTGCTCGCAATACATTATTGCTTTAAAATTGTTAAATATCCTCGCTATACGCTTAATTTTTAGATACCGTATGTTTATGTACATATATCAGCTCATAATACCAAATAACAATAATAAATAAATTAAAAGCATGAAGAGGTCCAAAACCAATTCAAGCATGACACCAGGTTGAATACATTGTCATCGGAAGCTGCAAGCTTGTTCCTAGCCCACTTCTATCCTGGGTGTATAATTTAGGCTAGATTTCCAGTGCTGGGGGAGGTTCCTATAGGGTTATCCAAATAGGTTGGCCTTTGCCAGTCTTGAAGACTGTTTCACAAATCTGAAGATGTGATTAGGCTACTATTTATTGATGATCTCAACCATCGTAAGAAGATGTTTGCCGTATATCCTCATTCTGATGTTTCAGCTTCTCCTTGGCCGTGTTCACAGTCTTGCGTCTCGAAGTTGACGTTGTTAGCCAAATGCTGAGGCAAATAACTGAAGGGGGTTTGCTCCGCCCAGGTAGCGACAGCTTCAAGACTCCCATTGCATTGCGTTGACATTTATTTTTACTGATGTTTATGGCATATATTTAAAAAGTCCTTGAGAGTATAGTAGCTAGCAGAAGTCTGAGGGCACGGTGAAAAAAGCTGTCACCCTTAGCAAAAAAAGCAAAACTTTCGTCACCAACGTTGATGAGAGAAAACAAAACTTTCACGAAACGAATGTCTACAAATAGGTCAATAGGAATATGGGTTTAACTTAATCGCATAAATTGAAACTGTGCTTATATTACAAAACTTGGGAACGATATGTGTACTACTATGTACTTCAAATTTTAAATCATGGTTGACTATATAGTATATACAGTCTTATAAACTATAAATGATACATTTGTAAATGTTACTAATGCTTGTCATACGTTGTATGACCCGCCGCGCACGAAGTGCGCGGCTCCCCCTGTATCGTCGAAGACGATAAACTAGTGAAGCGACCGTGGGTGTCACCACGTGAAGCGACCGTGGGGTTCACCACGACCGTGGGGGTCACCACGTGATACAAACTAATGCTACTTTCCTGGCTAACTTTTAAGTCAAATTATATTATTTTTATTTTGACGAATATTACTCGTTTAAATTTTTTCGAAATAGCGCCCACCACTTTACTTTTTTTGCATTTGAAATATTATCAATAATTTTATTGCATTGCCCGAGGCAAATATTATTTTTTCCGCGCCGCGGCAAGTGCTAAAATAAAATAAAGTATAAAGCAAAATAAAGTCGCAATTGCAATATTGTACTAAAGCACTATTAAACTACTACAGCTGTGAAAAATTTACCTCGGCAATCAAATTATATTAAAATAAAATTTTTCTTTAAAATAGAGCTCAAATTTTATAATATTCGTGCCGCGCATTTTTAAATAGTGTGCCGCGCATATTTTGTTTTTTACCTATCTATACCCGACTGTGAAGATCAAGCACTAAGTAGTCAACAAGTTGTGTTAAAGCGCTTGTTTGTGATTTCTTATATCTACTGCCTCAAATAATATGGATTTGGTTTGAAACTCACAAAAACTAATATGTGTTTACACAAGGGTATCAGACCTATATTAATCTAAGAGACGACACAAAACGAATCATCATACAACAAATTTTAAAATCCTGCGGCACAGGATCCTGTTGTTTTCCTACTCTACCTCTTCCAAACCCCTCTCTCCTTCTCCTCTCTTCAGGTTTATTCTTCAATTTTTTTTAATTAGATAGCAGATATATTTTCTTTTAAATGAAGTAATGGCATTATACATTGTTTGTTATCGTATGTATGTTGTGTATAGTGTTTGCTGACTGGGTATATGCTATATATTTTGGGGCTCACGACGTCTCGTCCCATGGGTGGAGTTGTAGGCTGAGTATGTGTTCAAATCTCCTTACTTCGTATGGTGAAACATTGAAAGGTTTGCCTTAGCCTTTGGGACGAGTGTTTTCCCACCGGGGATCCAAATATATGATTATCATGGACATTACTTTGACACATAAACTAATCAAACGACTTTAATGATTCCAGAAAATTTTACTAACTGCATTTAGCTAGTTTATAGTAAATACACACGATCGCAGAATAGAGGAGCACAATTGGGTTCCTTGTTCTGCGACTGTGTTTCCTCGGTGGGCCGACAGGTTTTTGTTGTGTAGTAGTGCTGGGGAAAAAAACGCTTTAACTATCAATGAGAGTACAAATTTTTAATTCTTGACCTTAGTGCCACAGTTTCTGCTATGTGGTAAAAACAAATTTATAGTTAAACGTTATATATTGTAGAAGGGCATGATTTACTCACATCACTAAGCATCTGGATGGATAATTAGCACACAAAGATAAACTGACCTTTAAACATGACCACCAGCTATACCACGTAACCATAGCTCCGAAATAAATAAATTGCTCTACATAGAAACATCTGGCCTGATCCTATCACATTGTGGTCCCCAGGGGTTCGGTAAAGCCCTTACAGGCAACTGGGTCCTTTTACCAGCCACAATAAAATTGATCATGCCAGTACTGTCATAAACTGTAACCAACTATTTAAAAATTAGATATCTTTTGCTAAATTTTAAATTTTAAGTCATAGAGCAATCTTCTCAATTTTAAAATTTTTAAGAATTATATTTTACCCTAACTATGATGTGGTGGCATTTCATACTTAACTAAATTTCAACTTTGAAAGTAAATAGATTATTAGTGACAACAAAATTATAGTTTAAGACATCCATTCTGCATTGTGTTTCCAATATTAGAATTTATGATATGTATTGATTGAATAATTGGTAATAAATTTAACTTTTGTTTTATTAACTTTTGTTTTATTAATATGCAAAATATCACATCACAAACTAGCACGTATGGTTAAAAGTGTTCTTAAAATACAGTTATTGTACTCACTTGTTACTTGTACTTCCAACGGTCTTGTCCATCATTCAAGTGGCCGGTATTCGCTGAATCGGTCTGGCGGATATGAAGTCCGCCACTCTTTCCTATCCCATGCTGAAAAGATCATGTCTTTTATGTTGGGGCTGGATTCAGTAGTGGTCTTTTAGTCCTCTTTGACACAGTCTAGGCTCGAGCCAAGACTTTCGAGGTCTACCTCTGGATCATTTCCTTGTGCTGGTTTCCACTGCAGCAATTTATTGGGTATTCGTTCTTTACTTGAGTCATTATCGTCTAGACCTCCGAAGTCTATTGCTAGAGATGACGGTTGTAACGTTTGGTCGTTGATTACGTAATCAAAATTTTAATTTTTTACCGATTTTCGAAATACCAATTGGACAATTTTCGTTAATTATTTAATCAAAATTTTCGTTTTTTAAACCAATTTTCGTTTCGTAAGTGCTTTGCGATTATTTCATTCATTAATCTGTTCTGATAGCTTTTAATAAATAAATGTGGGGGGGGGGGATGGGGTCAAACCTTGATTACGTAATATAGGGGGGGGGTTCGGTCTTGATTACGGTTGATTACAGAGGGGGGGGGGGGGGTAAAAATTGCCAAAATATTGATTATGTAATATGTGAACGACCCCTATCCAGATCTTAATATAGGGTTTCATCTGCAGATATGACAGCTTCTTAATCATTATCTTTCACGCAGCGGCGCCAAAATGCAACGCTATGCCACTACTCTTATGCAGGACTGATTAACTTTTTGGGATGTTATTTTAATCAAAGTCTGGTGTGTCGCATGTAAAGTAGTAGTCTTCTTTCGTTTAATTTTAGGTCAACAATTGGGCCATTGTTAGCCCCAAGCGTTTTGGTCCCTCATTCCTGTCACTCAGCATTGCCTACTGTAATGGAGAAATTTTTCTAAGACAATAGAGAAACTGACCTTGTCTCACTAAATTCCCCTAAATTCAACCACTTGCCATAATAAAAATACTAACAACCAAATAAATTTTTAAAAATAATTATATATACAATCACCAAAGAATATTTCCTCAAGTTTACTTCTAGTTAACTAATTCGTGGTTTAAGCTCTTATTTTATTTATGATTGATAAAGGAATGTAAAATAAAACTTATTGTTTCATTGAATTTATTTATTTTGTTTTATCATCAAGGTATGTCAAACAATGGGTTGTTATCCCTGAATACAAAACAGGATATTCAACCTGAAAAGATATTTGATCTGAAAGAAAAGCTAGGAGAAGGTAGTTATGGAAGTGTGTTTAAAGCTGTCCACAAAGCTTCAAACAGTCTTGTCGCCATCAAGAAAGTTCCACTTGACTCTGATCTGCAGGTAAATCTGGCTATTATAGTGCATTTTAATTCATCTTTAAATAAATGCCTTTAATCTACATCATATTTCTTATCAAATGAAATGTCTGTTCCAGCTTTATTTAACATGTAATGATTTGCTAGAGGCACATTCTCAGAAACATTTTACAGCATGATAATATTTCAGGACATTTTACATGAGATTAGTATGATGCGACAGTGTGAAAGTGAATTTGTTGTAAAATACTACGGGAGCTACTTCAAAAACTCCGACCTGTGGATTGTAATGGAGTACTGTGCTGCAAGGAGTGTCTCTGACATGATGAGACTCTTCAAGAAACCCTTCGATGAGGATAAGATTCAGACTGTGTTATACTATACCCTCAAAGGTATGCTTTTTATTTGGTTTATTTGAGATTGTTGAGCTCAAAATTTGTCGGAATCTGTATGAGTAACAGAAATCTGTATGAGTAACATACCTATTATGTTTTTTTAATAAATCGCCAGACACAACTCTTTTATTCTTCAAATATATTACAAAATAAGAAGTTCTTATCGAAATTGAAACCGGGGTTGACATGCAGCTCCAAGTTGAGTTCTAATGTTACAATTTTGGTGTACTCAACGAAAATATGTATATTGTTTAACACGTCTTGTAAAATAAGTTTAAAACTAAAAAACTTTAGGTTTTGTGAAATTTTAACAGCAAACAGCTTTGTAAAATAAAATGATTATGTCTTAGTCCACAATATCCACAAACTATGTCATGAATAGTATGTTACTTTGTAGTAATAAATAGGGCCAGGGTGTGGGGTTTCTGTAAAGAATTATTCCAGAAACTAACGAGGCCTTTTGATGCCTTGTTAGAATCGTAAAAAAATAATTCCGAGATTTTCCCATCTCAACGTATAAAAAAGTTGACAACGATTTAGATAACGGTTATTAATTTGTCCTGCAGTTTCCGATCGAATCACTGTCATATACATCAAAACAAATATAGCTCAACTTCCCTCGAGACCCATAATATTTTTGGATCAATTTTGTAACCCTTAAGTAATTTATTCCTGAAAACGAATGTGCTCCAGGTCTAGAATATCTGCACAGCAAAAGAAAGATCCACCGAGATGTGAAAGCTGGCAACATCTTATTAACGGCAGACGGGGCTGCCAAGTTGGCAGATTTTGGTGTAGCCGGACAGTTGTCCGACACAATGACTAAACGTAACACTATTATTGGCACTCCCTTTTGGATGGCACCCGAAGTTATACAGGAGGTAAGTTATTAACGTTATTTTCTTAAGAGTTTTTAGTTTGGGTTACAGATATGACTTACTGAAACTAATAGAGGCTCGTGTTTCTTACCTACAAGTACTAAATTATAATTTTCAATTATGTTATTAGTAAACGGTTTAAATGAATTCAGGGGCTTTTCTGAGTCATGTTAATTCAGTATTATAACTTTTCCTCTCCCAGGTAGGTTACGACTGTATGGCAGACGTGTGGTCCCTTGGTATAACCTCTCTGGAAATGGCCGAGGGTAAACCCCCCTACGCAGACATCCACCCAATGAGGGCTATATTCATGATACCCACCAAACAGCCTCCTTCTTTCAGACAACCTGACCAATGGTGCGACCTGTTCAAGGTTAGTTAAAAGTTTAAGGTTAGTTACTCATTAATACTTTATTTAGGAGTTCTCCTGTCTTGTGTACATTCACTTTTTTAATAGTTTATTTATCTGGCTCATTGGAAACATCGCTACACATCTCTGATTTGGATTAATCTCAGGATTTCTTGCGATGTTGTCTAAAGAAACTACCTGAAGACAGACTGACTGCGGAGCAGCTTTTAAAACACGAGTTTATAACCAGGTTAGTTGGGACGCTAAAAGTGGGGGATGTGTGAGTAGTTGAGTTTATAACTAGGTTAGTTGGGACGCTAAAAGTGGGGGGATGTGTGAGTAGTTGAGTTTATAACCAGGTTAGTTGGGACACTAAAAGTGGGGGATGTGTGAGTAGTTGAGTTTATAACTAGGTTAGTTGGGACGCTAAAAGTGGGGGGATGTGTGAGTAGTTGAGTTTATAACTAGGTTAGTTGGGACGCTAAAAGTGGGGGAAGTGTGAGTAGATGAGTTTATAACCAGGTTAGTTGGGACACTAAAAGTGGGGGAAGTGTGAGTAGCTTTGAGTTTATAACTAGGTTAGTTGGTACGCTAAAAGTGGGGGATGTGTGAGTAGCTTTGAGTTTATAACTAGGTTAGTTGGTACGCTAAAAGTGGGGGATGTGTGAGTAGTTGAGCTTATAACTAGGTTAGTTGGGACGCTAAAAGTGGGGGATGTGTGAGTAGTTGAGTTTATAACCAGGTTAGTTGGGACGCTAAAAGTGGGGGATGTGTGAGTAGTTGAGTTTATAACCAGGTTAGTTGGGACACTAAAAGTGGGGGAAGTGTGAGTAGCTTTGAGTTTATAACTAGGTTAGTTGGTACGCTAAAAGTGGGGGATGTGTGAGTAGTTGAGCTTATAACTAGGTTAGTTGGGACGCTAAAAGTGGGGGATGTGTGAGTAGTTGAGTTTATAACCAGGTTAGTTGGGACGCTAAAAGTGGGGGGATGTGTGAGTAGTTGAGTTTATAACCAGGTTAGTTGGGACGCTAAAAGTGAGGGGATGTGTGAGTAGTTGAGTTTATAACCAGGTTAGTTGGGACGCTAAAAGTGGGGGATGTGTGAGTAGTTGAGTTTATAACTAGGTTAGTTGGGACGCTAAAAGTGGGGGGATGTGTGAGTATTTGAGTTTATAACTAGGTTAGTTGGGACGCTAAAAGTGGGGGATGTGTGAGTAGTTGAGTTTATAACCAGGTTAGTTGGGACGCTAAAAGTGGGGGATGTGTGAGTAGTTGAGTTTATAACTAGGTTAGTTGGGACGCTAAAAGTGGGGGATGTGTGAGTAGTTGAGTTTATAACCAGGTTAGTTGGGACACTAAAAGTGGGGGAAGTGTGAGTAGTTGAGTTTATAACTAGGTTAGTTGGGACGCTAAAAGTGGGGGATGTGTGAGTAGTTTAGTTTATAACCAGGTTAGTTGGGACACTAAAAGTGGGGGAAGTGTGAGTAGATGAGTTTATAACCAGGTTAGTTGGGACACTAAAAGTGGGGGATGTGTGAGTAGTTGAGTTTATAACTAGGTTAGTTGGGACGCTAAAAGTGGGGGATGTGTGAGTAGTTGAGTTTATAACCAGGTTAGTTGGGACGCTAAAAGTGGGGGATGTGTGAGTAGTTGAGTTTATAACTAGGTTGGTTGGGACACTAAAAGTGGGGGATGTGTGAGTAGATCTCTCTCAACATGATGTCATCACCTTTGATAATATTCCATGTCACCCCCTCACCACAACACCTGACATAAGATAGGTTATAAATGATCCGTACATTGGACATTCTGTGTACTGTGTAGTGACACGTGAGACTTTGTTAGTGACACGTGGGACTTTGTTAGTGACACGTGGGACTTTGTTAGTGACACGTGGGACTTTGTTCTCACTACACTCCCTTTCAGCTCTCAATTTGTATACTCAGCTAAATTGGTGAAATGTCGCCCCACTTCTATAGTCTGGACGTTTGGAATCAGATGGCACGAGTTACCTGGTTTTACCTGATAAGAGTGCTCACGAAACCCAATTTTCCAAAAGCAAGACTTTGAAATCCATTACAAAATGTTCTAATTTCTCCCAGCAATCGGCTCCTATAGCTATCTAACCTCGTTCAATTCCAACTATCTATATAAATAATATGATGCTTAAAACGTGACGTTATATATATAATAGTTTTTTTGAAAATCTGGGTCATGTCTAAAAATCGTCAAAAAACGAGACCCAAGATTTTCAAAATCGAACAATTTTTTGAATAAAAGACTTAGTTCTAAATTGTGGCTCTCTTCTCATAATATAAATTATTCTAAAAGCATATCCTGAAAGTTTCAAGGTGATTGCTAAAAAAATTTAGATTTTAGACTCGATTTTCAGGGCGTGCTATTGAAAAATCGCTTATATTATGCAATATAATCACACATAATTATAAGCGCTGACTTTTGAGCTGTCGTAAACTATATCTCACCACCACCCACATCTATAATTATACCTGGTTACAATTGTGATTAAAACTGGATCCTAATTGACCTCTCCCCCAGAGCGAACCTATCAGGAATGAAGGAGATGGTAAAGGAAGCTATAGACCTGATGGATAACGGAGCTATTACCTTCCAGGAAGAGGACGAAGAGTATGACACTATGGTGTCCGCTATGTCAAAACAAGTTGACACCATGATCATACACGGTAATCCACTTACTTTATTTTAATACTTACTTTATTTTAATACTTACTTTATTTTAATACTTACTTTATTTTAATACTTACTTAAATATTTTAATACAATGATATTTGTCGGTTTGTAACTATTATAGTGTATAACTATAGTGTATTTGTAACTGTAGTGTATTCGTACTTAGTTCTATAGTATAGTGGACACACCTGTAAAGTGCCTACTTACATCCGGATATATTTACATTTATATTTACATTTGTTAGGATAGAGGCTAGAGCTGTAGCTGCTAGCTACTATATATTATGGCTTCTTCTTACTACTTTATTAAATATTTGTTCAACTATTAATAACTAGTAATATTATCTTTAACTATTCGACCCATATTTTCATCATCTCCAACAGTTATAAATACATAAAAGGATTTATTTTTCAACTACTTTTCGAGAACTGTGTTAGATATTGCGATGTAATAACTTATGCGCATATTGAGCGTAACTTATACGCAAAACTCGAAATTTGCGAGTTTCGGCTCTTTGGCCAACATTTCACACGCCCTTAGAGTTTGTTAATGTGAGTTAACTGTGGTATTTGACAGGCTGTGTAACATACCTTATATAGACCCCTCTGCCTTGTGTATAAGTGTAATGTGTATGTGTATATTTGTGTTGTGTAAGAATGTATGTAGTTGTACACGTGTGTGTGAGTGTGATATTGCTTACATTTTGTACACTACTATTGTACATGCCTCACTGTACCAGTAACAAGTAAATGTAAATAAAGTGTATACAATAAACAGTGAGCTCATAGAGCCGTGTGTGAGAGTTAACTCACTAGATGTGATACGCTAACATTCCTGGGTAAACACACATGATATTGCACTGGTTGATTTTATGTCACAGTTGATAAAGTACATTGTTTTCAGCGTTTTAATTTAGAAGGCCTAAATCAAAATTGTGACCTTAAAGTTCTCCCCCTGAATAATGTTCAGTTTGTGTCTACCAGGCCAGGTGTCAGGAGTATGATTTTGTACGATAAAATACACGAAACATTGTTTAAATAACATATGTCACGTGTACATTGTACACTCTATACCACACAATCATACAGGATACACACACTGTACACTGTAAAGCGTACACGCGCAGCGTACACTGCAACTGTACAGTGTACAGTGTACAATACTATTTACTGGTACTGGGTACACTGTACAATACCCAGTACCACGGAGCTATATTTAAAACTCCCATGTTCATGCCCGGGACTACTACTCTTACTATATACTATATAATATATACTATATAATATATCAGTATATATTATAACTCCCAGCTTTCTCAACAGAGAGCTTGCGTGTTATTATTACAGTCACATTTCCGGTGAATTTGTCATTAATGTAACTGACTGGAGGATGAGTCAGGGAGTGTAGGATGAGTCAGGGAGTGTAGGATGAGTCAGGGAGTGTAGGGTGAGTCAGGGAGTGTAGGATGAGTCAGGGAGTGTAGGATGAGTCAGGGAGTGTAGGATGAGTCAGGGAGTGTAGGGTGAGTCAGGGAGTGTAGGGTGAGTCAGGGAGTGTAGGATGATTCAGGGAGTGTAGGATGAGTCAGGGAGTGTAGGATGAGTCAGGGAGTGTAGGATGAGTCAGGGAGTGTAGGATGAGTCAGGGAGTGTAGACTGAGTCAGGGAGTGTAGGATGAGTCAGGGAGTGTAGGATGAGTCAGGGAGTGTAGGATGAGTCAGGGAGTGTAGGATGAGTCAGGGAGTGTAGGGTGAGTCAGGGAGTGTAGGGTGAGTCAGGGAGAGTAGGATGAGTCAGGGAGAGTAGGATGAGTCAGGGAGTGTAGAATGAGTCAGGGAGTGTAGGATGAGTCAGGGAGTGTAGGATGAGTCAGGGAGTGTAGACTGAGTCAGGGAGTGTAGGATGAGTCAGGGAGTGTAGGATGAGTCAGGGAGTGTAGGGTGAGTCAGGGAGTGTAGGGTGAGTCAGGGAGTGTAGGATGAGTCAGGGAGTGTAGGATGAGTCAGGGAGTGTAGGATGAGTCAGGGAGTGTAGGATGAGTCAGGGAGTGTAGGATGAGTCAGGGAGTGTAGGATGAGTCAGGGAGTGTAGGATGAGTCAGGGAGTGTAGGGTGAGTCAGGGAGTGTAGGATGAGTCAGGGAGTGTAGGATGAGTCAGGGAGTGTAGGATGAGTCAGGGAGTGTAGGGTGAGTCAGGGAGTGTAGGGTGAGTCAGGGAGTGTAGGATGAGTCAGGGAGTGTAGGATGAGTCAGGGAGTGTAGGATGAGTCAGGGAGTGTAGGATGAGTCAGGGAGTGTAGGGTGAGTCAGGGAGTGTAGGATGAGTCAGGGAGTGTAGGATGAGTCAGGGAGTGTAGGATGAGTCAGGGAGTGTAGGGTGAGTCAGGGAGTGTAGGATGAGTCAGGGAGTGTAGGATGAGTCAGGGAGTGTAGGATGGAGTGTACTGTGTAGGATGGAGTGTAGGATGGAGTGTAGGATGGAGTGTAGGATGTAACACAGCTCCTGTCTGAGTAGCTCCCCGCCACCTAATGAGTAGGGATATATTTCTTATTACACTCACAACTACACAGAAACTACACAGTAACTACACAGTACTACACAGTAACTATACACTACTGAGTTTCTAACTCTGGTAATATTGAACAGATCACCGCAATCTTTCAAACCACAACAATGTTTGGGTTATTAGAGGGTTATTAGAGGGTTGTTTTGATTGATTTTGCCCTAAAGAGCTTAAGTGAATGAAACGTGAAATGTAAGTGTTTGTGAAGCTGGAATAGAGAAAGATTCTATAATGTAAATTTGCCAGGTTAACGTAAATTCTACACCAAGCTGGAATGTACATATTATATGGCAGGTGATTATTTGGGGTTTCCAACTGTCCAGTGACGGAGCAGTGTAAGATTTCTGGGAAATTAAAGAGGAATCTGATGAGGAACACAGTGACTATCTAAAGGATTTCTAGGTTTTCTCTCTAATAGTGAAGGAATATAAACATGACTGTAACACTAGTGAAGGAAGCAGATGTAAACATGACTGTAACACTATGAAAGATTACCCTCAATTAAGCTATGTTATTTGTGCTTTGCATCATAACTAGTTCGAGTTAGTGTGGATGATAAACTCTGGCTTCATGCCAACTTTATATGCATCAAGGTACAAGAGTATTGGATGACATACATTTCATGAACAAACATAATGATCTATGTGTCTACGACAGTGTAAATCTAGTTGTTGAAAATATGTGTGTTTAAGGAAACAGTATTTGTTAATTACTATCTGAAGCCGTGTAAAAGCCGACTTTTACGGTTGTGACGCGACTATTTCTTAACTCACCGCAATTTCTGCAACATTATCAGGAACTAGATTACAGGCTTTCTGCAGATGTTGCAATATTTCTTGACATATTACCTGTAAACTGAACAAAGAAATTGTAAAACGTTTAAATTGGGTTAACAGACATGATGGGCTAAATTTCTCCAACCGTGCAAAAGTAAATGAGCTGAAAATACTACACAATGTGCTAAGAAATATCAGAAATTGTGCAAGATTTTTATTAGCGATCATTGTGCAGTCTGGTTGCGTATTACACGTGATGCCCATATAAGGTATTATCACCAGCAGTGAGATTGTACAAGCCAGTCAAGTCTAATGAACTACTCCCATAATAGTGTCACGTACAGTAAGTAAGTAGTAAGTACAGTGGTGTTTATTATATCCGTGTAATGTAAGCGTGTGTCGTGACGTCACGTGTAATGTCACGTCTCCTTATCAGGAGGTGACCGGGACATGATTTTAGGCCTGACCGGGACCGGGATACAAAATGTGACTTGACCGGGACCGGGACCGGGACCGGGACTGAGATTATCAATTTACCGTGACCGGGACCGGGACCAATAATTTCTGGGATTTCTATCTTACCGGGACCGGGACCGGGACCGGGACCAACAATCCAATTTTACCGGGATTTGACCGGGATTTGACCGGGATTTGACCGGGATGACCGGGACCAAAACTGGTATTCTCATATTGAAAGCTGCAACTTTCATTTACATTATAATTGAACAATTTGAATAAGTAATAACTAGAATATTAAATTAGAAAAAACTAAAAAGAAACCGTCAATATGGGGCATGGGCCTATTGTACTACACCAATAATGTTCATGTACTGATTACTCAAGTTCACCCTCATTCCTCATTCCTCAATCAATGATCCCTCAAATTATTCAACAGTTTCATTCTCCAATTCCAATTGACAATTGGGCGTAGCCCGAGTTGAAAACTTGATGTTAGTTTGCACTTATGAGTTATGTAACGATATTAGTTACCTAAACTTGTTTAGCAATTTTAAACATTGTTTTATTTGGCTCAGAGGTTGTTTAAAGATGAAATTCACAATGAATGAAAGTAAAAACGTAAAATCACAGTGAATGAAATTATGTAAAAGATCCCGGTCAAAATCCCAGCAAATTTGAGTGATTGACCGGGACCGGGACCAAGAATCCTGAATTAACCGGGACCGGGACCGGGATCATAAATCAGCATTTGACCGGGACCGGGACCGCGACCGGGATGAAAAATGTGACTTGACCCGGTTGACCGGGACCGGGACCGGGACCGGGATAGCTCAAAATTGCCAATCCCGGTACCGGGATTCCCGGTCACCTCCTGCTCCTTATATGGGCATCACATGTAATGTCGCGTCTCCTTATATTGGCATCACATGTAATGTCGCGTCTCCTTATATTGGCATCATATGTAATGTCGCGTCTCCTTATATTGGCATCACATGTAATGTCGCGTCTCCTTATATTGGCATCATATGTAATGTCGCGTCTCCTTATATTGGCATCATATGTAATGTCGCGTCTCCTTATATTGGCATCACATGTAATGTCGCGTCTCCTTATATTGGCATCACATGTAATGTCGCGTCTCCTTATATTGGCATCACATGTAATGTCGCGTCTCCTTATATTGGCATCACATGTAATGTCGCGTCTCCTTATATTGGCATCACATGTAATGTCGCGTCTCCTTATATTGGCATCACATGTAATGTCGCGTCTCCTTATATTGGCATCACATGTAATGTCGCGTCTCCTTATATTGGCATCACATGTAATGTCGCGTCTCCTTATATTGGCATCACATGTAATGTCGCGTCTCCTTATATTGGCATCACATGTAATGTCGCGTCTCCTTATATTGGCATCACATGTAATGTCGCGTCTCCTTATATTGGCATCACATGTAATGTCGCGTCTCCTTATATGGGCATCACGTGTAATGTCACGACTCCGTATATGGGCATCACGTGTCACGCGACTACAGCTGTCTTTCCAGCTGTGCGACACATAATCCTTAAAAGTTAAAAGTAACATTCTACTTATACACTATTCATTTACTTTTACAAGGTGCCTGGAAAGGAATTTATATGATAATAAGCTCGTTAGGCAAGTGAATAATATGTAAAAACCACGTTGTAAATAACTGAATACTATGTAAATACAATTATGTAATTGTTGTGTGATTAATTTCTGAGGACGATAGTCGATAGCTATTATTTCCCTCCTTCTTGGAGCCCAAATACTTGACAAATCTATTGCACTGCTTTTTCGGGATTTGGTTTAAACGATGAATTATAAACCACGTACCTGTCTAATCGCTTTGCGTGTATGTTGTGATCTGTTTCCTAAATGTTCCTTATTTGCGTGTATGTTCCTAGGATCTGTTTCCTAATTGTTCCTTATTTTCAGGCAAGGATTCAGGCTCCATAGTCTCAGACGGTACAATGATACTGAACGGTACAATGAACAGTTTCGCCAGTAACGACACAATGTTCATAGCAGACTCCGGTACAATCAAAGTGAGCGGCACCCAGGAATACGTACCTGACTTCATGAAGCACTACCAAGTAAGGAAACCTGTTACTATGCCTGAAAAACCGGACGATGAGGAAACCAGCCCTCAGCCCGAGCCACACCCTAAAAACGATTTTAACTTCCTCAAGGAAATGTCACTTGAGGATCTGAGAATGCAGTTAGTTACCTTGGACCATCAAATGGAACAAGAGATATCAGCCCTAAGACAGAGATATCAGGCTAAACGACAGCCTATTCTGAAGGCTATGGATGATAAGAGACAGCCTACTTGAGCACTAGAGAAGAGGATAAGAGAAGATAAGGAAGAAGAAGCCACTCTAGACACGTGAAGAATGTACAGAGAGAGCTAAAAGGTAGATAAAGTTGTAGCGAGATATTCACGTGACGTCATCACACCACGTGACGTCATCACACCACGTGACAGATGATCAGATGGGAGAAGATCACGAGTTATTAAGAGTGTTTGCTAGAATGTGTTGGAATGTTCGAAACAAGGTTTCGGGAAATTTGACGATTGTACAGATAGAGGGGGCAAGATGTACATAGTGTTGTAATGAATACTGTTGTTTAATCATTGTTATATTGTTCTGACCGATGTTCCCGTTTTAGTTCAAGTTTGACTTTTTGACGGAATGGATTTTGCTTTTATGTGGGGGCAACTGTCGGTGTTGACTGATTACTTTTAGGTAAACAACTGTAAAACATCGATTGATGTGTGCAATGTGCATAATGACTAATGAGTAAGTATTCGGCTGGAATCTCTGATCCAATTAACACACATACAAAAACCAAAAATACTCAAATTGCGATGTCTATTCGACAATTTATCCTTACGATATTAGTTGTGGTCTGTGCAGAACTCGATGTTTTACAGTCTATAGTTTATTTTAGCCAATCACTTCGCACCTCAATCTTTGTTACCGACCGGTAACATGAAATTATTCGAAGCAGTTTCTGTTCGTAGATTAGTTTCAGAATTCTTTGTTGTTTAAAAGATTTTGTATCTTTTTATCCCAACTATAAATCAATCCGAAGTTTCTATACTCTTGTCCACTACATTTGTGGTATCAAATTACCTCCAGTCCTAGAAGGATGTATATTATTAATGAGCTCCAATTTATCAATTAGACCTGGAGTGTACAAGGTCGACCCTCTTACAACCCCAGTAACTAGAAGAGGAGGTGTTCTTGCAAAATTGCAAGGAAATTATTTTCCATCTCTTCTAATACCATGTGACATGTCTTGTTGCGTTAATGCAATACTGTGTGACACATTGACTCGATAAAACGTCTTATTGTAAACATGGTTCAAATCTAAACTGCTTTATTCTCCAAACAAGATAATTGATCTGTAATTATTTGGGCTGGTTCTTATTCACATAATGAAAGGAACTCATTGTATAGTAACACTGTTAGAACATTAACTGCTCTAGAACGCATGAGTGTTATTTTACGGAACGCGCGGATGCCATCCATCAATGCAAACTTCAATTATCACGCGAATACTTTCTCAGTTTTGCGCTGTCTAGTTTTCATGAGGTTTGGTAAATAATTCTCTGGTTTCCTTTAGTAGTGAAAGGCTTGAATTACAACAAAAATATTTCTGACGTAACACCAAACTCTACGTAATTACATACTACTACATTTTGGATTCAATCTCGTAATGTAATATAAATCTCAACATGTTAAAGCGACAGCTTACTCAATACTCGAGAGCTGCCGGCTGCGCCTTACTTTTTATCTTGTGCCCTGTTTAACATTTTTTTTTAATCTAGACACTTATTTTACTTCGGTGTATTCCAACAGCCACAATGTTACACAAGTGCAACCAGCCAATTACAGGAAGCCGAAGGATCTTTATGGCCAGTGACGGTTAAGGTAGTGTGTACCATACTTTCTTCGTCCGAGACTTTGCTGCAATGTGCAGCTCCTCATTTAACCCTCACACCCGATTTCTCGAGTATTCGGCTGAGTAGACCGGGGGGCTGCATGGACCACTCATGATCCTTAGCTGAACGTCGACGACGCTCACCCCACGACCAGGCAGTCAGTGGGTTTCGAACTCGCAACCTAACGATTGTAAGACAGGCGTTCTAACCAACTGCGCTACCTGGCCGTAAAAAAGTAAATTGTTCGAAAAAAGCAAAGAACAAGACCTGAAGACCACACTATACAACAGATTTAGTGAATGAGCTGCGGCCCCAACCAATATTTGCTTTATGAACACTGCAAGTAAAAAGTAAAGAAGCCTGAGAATCAGTGGCATGACGCCACTGCTGAGAATTGAGATCCCTATTCCCCAGTAAGATATTTTAGGGACCACGAACCAAGCCTCCGCAAGACTTTGTTTCTTTTATAAGCCCATTCTACTCCATTTCAACCGTTCACATACTTCGTTTAGGATGTCTCCTCTGTTAATTCGACTAACACGTCCCGTGTACTGTTAAAGGATGGCTATAGGTAGGGTCTGAATGGTCGGGTCTGAATGGTCTGAGGCTAGACGTACGTCCTTGGTCAATGGGGACACAATTATTAAATATCCTTGTAGTTGGTTGAGATCTGATGACTCAGGGATTACTCAGGGGTTGGCAGTGTTTGCAACATGACTCAGACAGTTTAATTGGTTTCCTCAAGGCTATAATTCCAATTTATCCAATGTAGCTGCAACTGCATGGCTACTTCGGTTCATGTTAATTGTCCAGGGGTATCAGGGTATCTGGGTACTAAGGCAGGGTCTGAATGGTCTGAGGCTAGATCTTTAGTAGTAGACATAGGTCCTGGGGCAATGGGGACACAATTATTAAGTATCCTTGTAGTTGGTTGAGATCTGACACCTCTAGGATTACTCAGGGGTTGGCAGTGTTTGCAACATGACTCAGACATTTTAATTAGTTTCCTCAAGGCTATAATTCCAATTTATCGTGTAGCTGCAACTGCATGGCTACTTCGGTCCATGTTCATTGTCCAGGGGTATCTGGGTACAAATTTTCTCGAAAAGACCAAAAATTTACAAACTGAAATCTCCAGGGCCCACTCTGGGTTGCGGGTATTAGTTTAGCACACGATCAGTACGTACTCTCTTAGAGGTCGTTCACCTTTTGGATAATTGTTAACCTCCCCCTCCGTAACCGGTACGTAATATGTGAACTACCCCTTACTCCTTAGCTTTGCGCTACCTTTCTAGTTTTCACGAAGTTTGGCCAACAATTTTCTGGTTTCCTTTAGTCAGTGAAAGGCTTTAATTACAACAAAAATATTTCTGACGTAATAAAATACTCTACGTAATTACAAATTATACTACATACATTTTGGATTCGATCGTGTAATGTAAGATAAATCTCAGCATATTTCAAGCGACAGCTAACTCGACACTCCAGAGCTGCCTCTTACTTTAAATCTAGATCCCTGTAAATTGTTCGAAAAAGGCAAAGAACGACACCATACTATTCAACATCTAGAGTGAAGGAGCTGCGGCCCCACCCAATATTTGTTTCTTGAGATGGGGCCGCCTTGTCCTCTTTCTAAACTGTCTCGACTTCGGGGAGCACACACATGTATCTCATGCTCCACCGCGGCCAGTTCGGAGGTTGGGGTCTCCAGGTCCGGAATCCAAGGAATGTGACAGGATATATCCGTTCTCTCAATGTCCGAACCGGCAGTGTGGTGTCGCTCAGTTACACATCAATCCACTTGTGGGTTGTGCTCGAACAAATACTCCGCCTGGTGGGAATACGTTATCAGTATTCAGTAAGGTTACTCTATCATCTCGTACAGATAAGATAGTAGTACTTTTTATCTATAACTTAACAAATAAGTGGGTGTCTGTTAGAAAACTGCTCTACCAACTTACCAAGTAATCAATAGCGTCCTCAGGTCTAACTTTGCACACTTCAATAAGACCCTGGTTAAGAGTGGGCATGACATGCTTCATCAGGTAGTTTCTCAGAGGGTAGCTCTGAGCTTGCAGCACTTCCTCCTCCTGCTCCTTCACCTCTTTTACACGGGTTGCCTGGGAAACAATTTAGCGTCACTACTATACAGCACATTGATGTGATAATATCCTATCAGGAGACATAATATCATATCAGGTGACTATTTATTTGTCACAACTTAAACTGAGAAATAATATGTGCAATTATATAATCAGGTACATTTAGCATCTAGCAATATTCAACTTCATCCAATTCCAACAAAAGATTACACGCGATCTTCCACTCACCCACTCTTCTTTTCTGCGTTGTGTCTCCTTCTTTTCCTCCTCTTCTTTCCTCTGAAGTTCCAACTTCTCCAGAGCTTCTTTCTTGATTTTCTTTTCCATTCCGAGCCGTTCAAGTTCTAACTGCTCTTCTTGAGTAGGACCATAGTTCCTGGGCTTACCAACAGTCTTTACAATTTTCTCCATCACCTGGGATATCAGTTGTCAAACCAGAAAGAATCGATGGATTATATCATTGTAGAATTCTATTTCTATAAAAATCTTGTTGTCGAGTAAAAAAACTATCGTCCGATCTTTGTCTATAACAAAGATGTGTGTATGTTATGTTATGTGTAACATATTATATGTGATGTGTATAACCTGGGACATGTTAGAGGAAGTATCAGCTGCAATATTGAGATGCTCAGGGTGAACCTCGAGCTCGTCAAAGTAGTTCAGCACAGTCTGATCGTCTGTGTTGATGGCCCTGAACTCAGCTAGTCGCTTTAGGAACAGGTCCTCTGTATTGTGAGTTCCTGCTACAACTGATTCCGGCAGGTTCATAATTCGCTTTTTCAGGAAGTCGTCTTCCGCATCCAGCGAGATTACCACCTCTGAAATATTAATTTTAACACCAGACTCTTGTTTATTAGTTACAAAAGATAGCAAAATACTTCGCTGATCGGTTTCAGGAACAAAACACTAAACCTAACTGGAAACTCTACTTGATAATATATTCTCTCTAACTGACCTGGCATGATCTTAGAGTTGAAAACACTAAACCTAACAGGAAACTCTACTTGATACTATATTCTCTCTAACTGACCTGGCATGATCTTAGAGTTGAAAACACTAAACCTAACTGGAAACTCTACTTGATAATATAGTCTCTCTAACTGACCTGGCATGATCTTAGAGTTGAAAACACTAAACCTAACTGGAAACTCTACTTGATAATATATTCTCTCTAACTGACCTGGCATGATCTTAGAGTTGAAAACACTAAACCTAACTGGAAACTCTACTTGATAATATATTCTCTCTAACTGACCTGGCATGATCTTAGAGTTGAAAACACTAAACCTAACTGGAAACTCTACTTGATAATATAGTCTCTCTAACTGACCTGGCATGATCTTAGAGTTGAAAACACTAAACCTAACTGGAAACTCTACTTGATAATATATTCTCTCTAACTGACCTGGCATGATCTTAGAGTTGAAAACACTAAACCTAACTGGAAACTCTACTTGATAATATAGTCTCTCTAACTGACCTGGCATGATCTTAGAGTTGAAAACACTAAACCTAACTGGAAACTCTACTTGATTATATATTCTCTCTAACTAACCTGGCATGATCTTAGAGTTGAAAACACTAAACCTAACTGGAAACTCTACTTGATAATATAGTCTCTCTAACTGACCTGGCATGATCTTAGAGTTGAAAACACTAAACCTAACTGGAAACTCTACTTGATTATATATTCTCTCTAACTGACCTGGCATGATCTTAGAGTTGAAAACACTAAACCTAACTGGAAACTCTACTTGATAATATAGTCTCTCTAACTGACCTGGCATGATCTTAGAGTTGAAAACACTAAACCTAACTGGAAACTCTACTTGATAATATAGTCTCTCTAACTGACCTGGCATGATCTTAGAGTTGAAAACACTAAACCTAACTGGAAACTCTACTTGATAATATATTCTCTCTAACTGACCTGGCATGATCTTAGAGTTGAAAACACTAAACCTAACTGGAAACTCTACTTGATAATATAGTCTCTCTAACTGACCTGGCATGATCTTAGAGTTGAAAACACTAAACCTAACTGGAAACTCTACTTGATAATATATTCTCTCTAACTGACCTGGCATGATCTTAGAGTTGAAAACACTAAACCTAACTGGAAACTCTACTTGATAATATATTCTCTCTAACTGACCTGGCATGATCTTAGAGTTGAAAACACTAAACCTAACAGGAAACTGTACTTGATAATATAGTCTCTCTAACTGACCAGGCATGATCTTAGAGTTGAAAACACTAAACCTAACTGGAAACTCTACAAGATAATATAGTCTCTCTAACTGACCTGGCATGATCTTAGAGTTGAAAACACTAAACCTAACTGGAAACTCTACTTGATAATATAGTCTCTCTAACTGACCTGGCATGATCTTAGAGTTGAAAACACTAAACCTAACTGGAATCTCTACATGATAATATATTCTCTCTAACTGACCTGGCATGATCTTAGAGTTGAAAACACTAAACCTAACTGGAAACTCTACATGATAATATATTCTCTCTAGCTGACCTGGCATGATCTTAGAGTTGAAAACACTAAACCTAACTGGAAACTCTACTTGATAATATATACTCTCTAACTGACCTGGCATGATCTTAGAGTTGAAAACACTAAACCTAACTGGAAACTCTACTTGATAATATATACTCTCTAACTGACCTGGCATGATCTTAGAGTTGAAAACACTAAACCTAACTGGAAACTCTACTTGATAATATAGTCTCTCTAACTGACCTGGCATGATTTTAGAGTTGAATTCCAATCTGGGTGCGTCCTCGTCCTCCGCCTCCTCCTTATTTCCAAACAGCTCTTTAGCCTGACTGTAGGTCTTGGGGAACCCGTCCATCACAAAACCTTGGTTCTGACACGGCATAGAAAGCAACTTCTCCGTGAAGAACTGGATAATGTACTGGTCTTCGTATCGATCTAAAAGTGAAGTATAAGTAGGTAAATCACATAAAATCAATTCCAGATAAAGTGTTGGAAGTTAACCTGCCATGTAGGACCTCACTCCTCAGTACTCTTACCATTATTCTCCTGTTTACTCTCGTTCAGCAAGTCCAGGGTCTCCTGAGCCTGCTGGGCTGACTCGTCATCCTCCTCTCCTTCCTCAGACTCCGCTCTAGCTGCCTGCTTCTCCTGAACAGGGTACAATGTTACATGGGTATTCACTATTCGTACAGCACAGTGCACAGTGCTTGCACTACAAGTTTCCACGACTGCTTCCATACATTTTACATCACGATGAACTACAGTAAAACCCCGATTTACAGTGCCCAGATTTGCCGTAAACCACAATTTACCACGGCTATTTCCTTTTCCCAAATTTAATTGGGCTTAACATGCACAATGTGAACAATCAAAACCTCCAAATTACTGCGAACCCCGATTTACCGCGGTTGTTTCTTTCCCCCAAACTTCGCGGTAAATCGGGGTTTTACTGTACACAACTGGCTACCAGTATACCTACATGAGCTAGCGTGATGTTTTTCTGAGGGCATTAATGTTATATGTTGTGTAAGCTGATTGCAAGTCCAGACGCCAGAACTGGCCGTTTTTCATTACAGTAAACTTGTCTAGTTACTGCTGATATGAAATGTTTAACCCTGCAGTCATGCAGTGGTTGGGACCTATAAGTTTAAACACCCAGCTATATGAATGTAGGCACACTAACCAGCTTTTCTATGGATTGCTGTATAACGTCAGCTATCTTGAGGTGATGCAGTTTGTAGTGTTGGCAGAGCTGGGAGGCTATCAGAGACTTCCCTGCAGCTGGTGGTCCCATTACACACAGTCTTATTGGCAGAAGTCCTCGTGATCTCTTGTACTCGTCTACAACTGTTGTTATATTCTCAAGGATTCCTGTCTGAAATACGTATGAATACTAGTGAACTCCGAACAATCCCACTTTAAAACCTAAACTCGGCAATTTATTAATCACACTTTTTACAATTTCTCTTTAACCAGTTAGCTTACCTCTGATACCCACTCAAACTTTGCCCCCTCTTTAATCCAGGTACCCTCCATTCTTAAGTTGACAGAGAGAATATCAAACACTCTCTGACTAATCTCCGGGATTAGAAGCGCTTCTTCTCGGGTTATGTTCATCACGTTTCCCGTCCCCAGGTTCTTGCTTATACACTGTCAAAGGTTTCATTATGTTTTCTTCATGAATTAGTTTTGCTAAAATTTATAGTTTTGACACGCAAGGTTTCTATTAACTCTATCCGATGAAAATGCTGGTGTTCCAAAGGCCGGAACTGTTAATGTTCCATGTATATCATAAGCTAGTAATATCAGTAGAACCGTGCAAATGAGCGCGACTTACAGTGATAATATCAGTCATAGAGTTCATCGAATCATCAACAGCTACAATATAACGAGTTTTGGGTTTAGCATCTGCAACAGAGGTAACAATGTTACTGAGATCCTGGACATGTATTGAGGGGATGATGTTCTCTCCTGTTCCAATGATGTTCAGAGCCTCTGTGTCACCGTGCCAAGCCACCTTGGGTTAGGAGAGTTAAATGCTGTTTTGTTAACAGAAACATTAATGATTAATCGTAGACAATTCATCATATATTGAAAATGATGTCTAGACTCTAGTCATTATTTCGATATCATAATTTCCATGAAACAAAAGGAAATATTGAGATGAAGAACCTTGAAGAAGTAATGGAAAATGTCTTCTTTTCCTCCGTACGGAAGTCCCGCAGCCACAACATAAGTCAGGAACCTGGTTTTGTCCTGAGATAAAACATAATAAGACAAACTCATTCAATATTCATCGTCGTATTCCGTTCACTTAAAACAGTGACTATCCAGTATCCGAAATGTATTTGAAGCTGACATGCGAGGGCCGAGGATTCTATATAATTCTCTTATTTCTCAATCTTATCACTATCATGTTAGTATGTTTTCACAGCTAGTTACTTATTTGAAGGCAAAAAGATAGTTGTATCTCGATGCTGCGCGCGTCCGCAGTTTATCGTCAGGTTGCTAGGTAACCGCGCATTTAGACAAACAATAATATGCACAAAATTATCTTCGCGTCCCACGTAAACACAGTATTAAATTGGCGACCGATCGAACTCACCGTTTTGCCCAACTTGATAACTTGTTTTTCGACACTGAAATGAGCGAAGTAGTTAGAGATAATTTGGATTAAAATGAATCAGAAAAAAGATCAAGTCATACTGGATTCAAAAAATTATTATCAGTTTTCTCAACTCACTTAATCTCGCTCTTGAAATTAGGATGGGGTTTTCTTCTGCGATAATCTTCTTCTGTGAATGGCTGTTCCGGTTCGTCCTAAATCATTTCAGTCTCACAAAAAAGCTTGAAAATAGTTTCAGTTATCAGTGCTTTGTTTACATAACATGTGTTAATGCAACACGGACGAATTTCACAAAGATGGTGCGCTAACACTTCTAAAGGACTTCTATAATACAATCTCCTTCATTCAGCCGAATAATCAGGAAACCGTAATTGATGGTCAAATGAGGGACCCATATCTGAATTTTCTAAGGGCCCCCTTCAGTGCAATTTTTATGCACTTTACACCATAGTAATATACAAATAATGCACTGTAAACCATAGTAATATACAAATAATAACTACAGTTAGAAACTGCTGCAATTTGTTTTTACAAGCAACACATTTTATTTTACGCCACTGAACGTTTTACCTGTCAAATACACTAACCTCGATAGCCTAAAACAGAGAGATGAGTAACTTTTAATAGGAAATGTAAGAAAATCAGGAAATTTGTGAGGAATTTCAATACTTGTTGTAACTATTGATTGAATAGGAAAAGAAAATAAGCTGTAGCATCAATCTAACCGGTTCGTTGGGTTTCGTCTTGCACCAAGTCATAACACTTGATAAACAGATAAAAGTTTTTGGGCTTTTGAAGTTGGCAATCTGCTCATGAAGGGCTGAAGTTGAAAATAATTAGAAAGTAAAATACGGTTAAAAGTGGACATTTTCTAGAGTCTCAAAAATAGAAATCAAGAAACACAAATATCACGTTTCTGTGATAAGCATACCATTACAAGCCAGCAAGCAGTCCTCAACCTCGGACTCAGAAGTTGAAACATCGTACACAACAACATCGCACTGGATGAGAGCTGTAAGGAGGTCGTCTACATTCTTAGCCTGCGAGATATCTATATTTAGATAAATGCGTCGTATCTACCACTACTTCCCCCCCTACTTCTTCCCTCTTCTTAGTCGTATCTACCACTGCTTCCCCTCCTACTTCTTCCCTCCTCTTAGTCGTATCTACCACTACTTCCCCTCCAACTTCTTCCCTCCTCTTAGTCGTATCTACCACTACTTCCCCTCCTACTTCTTCCCTCCTCTTAGTCGTATCTACCACTACTTCCCCTCCTACTTCTTCCCTCCTCTTAGTCGTATCTACCACTACTTCCCCTCCTACTTCTTCCCTCCTCTTAGTCGTATCTACCACTACTTCCCCTCCTACTTCTCCCCTCCTCTTAGTCGTATCTACCACTATTTCCCCTCCTACTTCTCCCCTCCTCTTAGTCGTATCTACCACTACTTCCCCTCCTACTTCTTCCCTCCTCTTAGTCGTATCTACCACTACTTCCCCTCCTACTTCTTCCTCCTCTTAGTCGTATCTACCACTACTTCCCCTCCTACTTCTTCCCTCCTCTTAGTCGTATCTACCAATACTTCCCCTCCTACTTCTTCCCTCCTCTTAGTCGTATCTACCACTACTTCCCCTCCTACTTCTTCCCTCCTCTTAGTCGTATCTACCACTACTTCCCCTCCTACTTCTTCCTCCTCTTAGTCGTATCTACCACTACTTCCCCTCCTACTTCTTCCCTCCTCTTAGTCGTATCTACCACTACTTCCCCTCCTACTTCTTCCCTCCTCTTAGTCGTATCTACCACTACTTCCCCTCCTAATTGACTATTTCATTAGAGAACGTGACACCGAAATTTTGTGACATAGACTTCAAAAATGATTATTGCTCTGAAAGAGCAACCTACCTCAACAATCTCGGTGACACAAGATGGTTTCGCAGCAGTCCTGTCTGAGAGAGTACCAACTACTTCGTATTTAACTTGGGCACGTTGTGAGACCTCATCGTCATCAACAGCTTCCTCTACAGTTGAACCAACTACAGTGTTCGAAAATATCTGAACAAACAAACAAGTCAGTCAAGCATCTTTACTATTTTAATGTTATGTCAAGCACAAGCAGACGAAATATCTAAAACTATAGATAAGTTATTTGGGTGAATCTTGATAATATAGATTGTAATTTGTAGGAGAGAAAATAAATATTTCTGAAAGTACCTTAGCAAGCTGCTCTCCAGTGTAACTGTCAACATTGTTGATGAAAACTCTTGCCATTTTGTTACAAGGGCCCCTAAAAGCATTCAAATGTTTAAATTGTAAATACTTGATAATCACGAAAAGAAATACATAATGAACACGACTAATGTTCCCATTTCTACAATTTGAAACTACCTTCATATAATTCAAATAAGCCAAGATACAGGGTGATCAAGAAGTAACTGCCCACACGCAACCCTTTAATAACTCACGTAATTCTTCTTAGAATTGCATAGAAATTTCAGAGATTACAGATATGGGTTAAACTTAAATTTCCTGAAAGTTTCGTAAAATCTAATTAATTACATTAGGTGTGGCACACCACTCCCTCTTTTTCACTATTGTTACCATCTTACTACAGGGTGGCCCATAAGTGACTACCCACACGCAACCTCTTAATAACTCACGTAATTAGTCTCCAAATTGCACCAAAATTTCAGAGATTATAGATATGGGTCAAACTTAGATTTCCTGAAAGTTTCGTAAGCCACGCCCAATTACAGTGGGCGTGGCGTGACACTCCCTCTTTTTCACTATTGTCTTCATAAAATGAGAACGCTTTAAGCTAAGAACTCCAAATTTTTTGCACACATTTGGCTTGATAATTTAAAACCTTTCCCAAAGTTTCAAGTTCATTGTTCAAAATTTGGCTGAGTTATGACCATTTCAAAATTCATCGGATACGTGATCCGAGCACTCAGTCAGTGATCTCTGCACTCAATCAGTGATCTCGTCACCCAATCTGATCAAGAGTAAGGTGTTAGCGTGTATATCCGTACCATTTTACTTACACCACGGCATCAACTTTAACGCGACTTTCCGCAAAAACCGTAAAAGATATACAACTGAAACTTTTTTAACTGGGTCAAATGCTTTAATGGCCTCCGAATCAGCATGAAAAAATAAAAAATTGGCCAAGGAATAATGGTTTTAGAGCCCAAAATTTGGACCCCCAAGTGGTGTCAAAAACGCGAATTAAATACTAGGTAATAATTATTTTCCTGCTAGTAATTATAAAGTAAGAACGCTATCAGCTAGGAACTTCAAAGTCTCTAGACACATTTGGCTTGATAATTGAAGTGCTTTCCCAAAATTTCAAGTTGGTTGTTCACAATTTAACCGAGTTATGACCCTTTTAAGATATTGCAGATATGTGATCTTGGCACATAATCAGTGATTTCGTCACCCAATCAGTAATCTCAAATGTGTCTAGAAACTTTGAAGTTCCTAGCTGAAATCGTTATCACTTTATGGTGACAATAGCGAAAAAGAGGGATTGGCGTGCCACACCCACTGTAATTAATTAAATTTGACGAAACTTTCAGGTAATCTAAGTTTTACCCATATCTATAATCTCTGAAATTTCTGTGCAATTTTAAGAAGAATTACGTGAGTAATTAAAGGGTTGCATGTGGGCAGTTACTTTTGGGCCACCCTTTATAATTAACGAATATTAAATTGTGGCTTGCAAATCGGTACTACTCTACAGTTCAGAAACCCTGACAAAGGCTCAAGAGAAAAGTTTGCTGACCTTTAAAGGACAAGGTCAGCAATGTTACTTTGTATGGTAGCCTACCTAAGCTGTCAAACAAGTTACGGAGCATGAGATTAAAAATGGCGGGACACTGCATCAGGCATCCTGCTTGCCAGTGATTTAGTCTTATGCGAACCAATGCATGGTAGAGCACAGCAAGGCCGACTGAGCCAAAGCTATTTGTCTATGTTACTGAGAGAAGTTGGGACAAACTTTAAAGAGGAACTGCGAACCCTGATGGGGGACAGGGTGTAGGTTTCAAGGATACAAGGATAGGGTACAAAAGTGATAATTACTTTATTGAGTACACAGTAGTTGTAATTCTGAAATAATTTAAGTTACACAATTCTAATTATTTACAAATGTGTAGGGATAATTTAGAAATGTTATATCATTTTACTACTTTCATTACGCATTTTCACTTATCATTTTACTACTTTCATTACGCATCAATATTTTTCCTCTGTAATCTACCTTTTCTTATCGCACTGAGCTTGTGATTTATACTGATCATGCGACGAAATTCTACACCTAATACCTCTACACCTACATCATCCCAGAGGAAGAAACTAGCTTCTAAAGCTGCTTCTGAGTCAATCGCTGACTCAGAAGCACCTCCTATCGGTATGTTGGGGCTTGGGGTGTCAGGGAATTACACGTTTGCAGCAACAACATGCCTTCACTTGTTAAGCTTACTGCCTGCTCCCGATTTAGATTTTGAGTTCGAAAGACTCCGCCTCCTTTCGAAAAGTGCTACTAAAGCAAGCACAACGGACAACAAAATTTCTTTTTTACGGAAACATTTATTAGGCCAATGTGCCCTAGACGCTGACGAGACAATGAACAAATTAACTGCGAGTCTAAAACTCATTTCATGTACCGTTAATGAAGAGGTTGAGAAGGCGGTCAACAGCATCACGGAACGAGCCTGCACTGTGATCCAGGAAGTCTCTGAAGAGTCCAGGAAGCAGACCTCTCTCATCGTTGAAGCAGCTAGCAGTAGTTCTCCACAGACTCTCTCCCCTTCCGGTGAAGTAGAAAGTATACCTAACCCACCACCTCCGGTAAGATTTTTGGACTGTGACTTTGGTGAACTTTCTTTTGATGAAATCTACCGCGAGCTTGACTTTAACATGAAACACCCGGGGGGCCGTTCAACGTCATATTTTGGCTTGGTACCTTACAGTTATGGCAGAACCAACCACCGTGCAACCCATGATAAGCCCTTGCCACCTGTCCTACAGCGCATTTTTGATTGTTTGCATAAATCCGATCCTGACATTACACCCACGAACTACACCTGCCTCTGTACTTACTATAAGGACGGGTCAGTTGGTATTCCATTGCATAGTGACAGCGAATCTAGCATTGTAGAAGATAGTCTGATTTACACTGCATCATTTGGCTCTACCAGAATTATGAGAATGTCAACGTCGACAGGCCCTTTCGTTGAGCATAACATCCCGCTTGAGCACGGCTCTGTCTTTGCAATGTCTCGATCTGATCAGAACCACTGGCAGCACGGCATTGAACGTGATCCTATGTTAAGGCAGCCACGAATCTCGTTCACTCTTCGCAAGTTGAAACAGCCTGATCCCACGGCCTTGCCAGCACCTGCAGCCCCTACTCGGGTACCGCCTGTTGCACCACCTACACAGATACAGTCACCAACGTCCCGTCACTCCAGAGTCCTCTTCATTCACGACTCAATACACCGAGAAACACCAGAATGGCTGTTCGACCAGATACCTGGCCACCGATGTCAAAAGCGCCTTAACTATCAACTAGTGAACTCACTGGAACATCAACATGAGTTCAAACATTCTAAAGCAGTCGTACTTTCCTGCGGCATTAATGACCTAGCTAGGTATGGGCAGTCGGCCAGGAGTCTTGCGGACAATTTCTGTCCCCGTTTTATAGACTCTTGTAACAATAACAAGAATACCGAGTTTATGTTTTGTGCTTTATCTATGACTAAATTTAACTGGTTGAATGCAGAGATTGACGCTTTTAATATCATAATGTTGAACCTGGCTAAGGATATTCCAAATCTGAGTTTTTTCGATGCCCATGCCGTGATCAAGCGTGTTAACTCATACTACGTATGGGACTGCAACGACAGACATGGCATCCACTTATATCACGAGGTGCAAAGGGTAATGGCACATGAACTTGTTAACTGCGTTGGCAAGTTATGTGGATCTGAACAGAGACGTCACAGGAACTGTGAGTGGCTCTATCACCACAAGCCTAACAGTCTCTCCAGATATAACCGAAGCTGAGCGCTTTACAAATCATTGATACCATTTTGATTAAAAAATACGATTCAATTTTTTCTCAACTTCCAGTCCACCTTTAACAGATCGTTACCAAGATAGATCATATAATGAAATGATCTGATTGGTGGAATATTTCTCATTATCTGATAAGTTCATCCATTATCAGTATCTCTTATCACCCGATCGCACACAAAACATTTTACTCTACAAATCTGTATCATCCTAAATCAATGAGATTTCATAACTCTATACAACATTCAAAATTCACATACAAATCTATAAATAATCAAGTGCGTTCTCTTCAGTATTACTCAAGTTCAGTGCGATAGTCCCTTATTACGTAAACGCTACAAACAAATCAAATACAAATAACACCTCACAAAACTACACAACACAAAAGCAACCACTTTATTCGATTTCTATTTTTTAGCCAAATCAGTTACTTAAATCATACTGATAAGGCCCTAGATAAAGACACTTTATTTCACTTAATTATCCGATTTTAATATAATTTACTTTTAAATCATATCACGATTCTGTAGCATACAGGACCTCCGGTTCTCGTGAAAGAATCTGATTTGAACTATAGTTGTATATACTATCAGTAACATAATCATAATATTTAGTTATAAATGGAACCCACTGTTACATCTGAAAACAAAGTAAAGATCAAATGTTCAAGCTGCAGCGGCTGGTGTTACTCTATTAGAAATATTCGCACATGCTCATGGTGTCAAAGTAATGTCCATGTCAAATGTTTTAAGGATAATCTAGGCTGTACGAGTTGCTGTGAAAGTATCATTCCTGGATTTCACGCAACCTACTATGAAATCTATGACGACTACAGTAAACTTAATAGTGACATATTTAATCCGTACGATCAGAATAGTCGATTTAATCTTATTGGCGACGCCATGACCAACGAAGAGCATCAAGATTCAACTTGGAGCAATATTTCATCTTTCCTAACTAGTTGTCAGTATAAACAACAACGTAACGTGAAAAAATCTACCTGCTCTCAACTTAAAACATTTTCTATGAACATAAGATCCCTTATTAAGAATATAGATCAACTACGTGATGATATTGAGACTTATGATAAGTATGATATATTGTGTTTTAACGAAACTAATTGCACTTTAGGGAAATTACCGAACGGAATAAACGACGTTACCTTAGATGGATTTCATGAACCATTTATCCAGGATCCAATTCGCCCATCTGGA